ATCTAATGATTTTTTTTTTTTTTTTGTAAACATTCTAGACACTAGAGACAAGTTAGAGTATATGTCTACTCAGCTTAATCATATGTATGGTGAGGAAAAGGGTAAACAATACTATGACAAAGTAGTTGCTGGTCTGGCTGAATTATTTGATGATTATTCTACATCTGCCTCTCCTGGTGTGAGTTCTGTCCCTTCTGTTCCTGTTTTTGTTCAGGCTACATCTGCCTCTTCTGTTTCTGTTGGGAAGCCACAACACTTACTCAAGTCCCAAATTAAAAAACAAAGGTTGGAGTCTGGGGATAAGAAACAAACTGAGTTGGATATGTACTTGAGTGAAGCAATAGTTGAAGAGGAAGAATCTTTTGACATACTTGGATGGTGGAAGATGAACTCTGCTAGGTTTCCAGTTCTGTCTAAGCTTGTCAGGGATGTCTTAGTCATTCCAATCTCAATTGTTGCCTCAGAATCTACCTTCAGTACATCTGGGAGAGTATTGGATCCTTTTAGGAGTTCATTAGCTCCAAAAATTATGGAAGCATTGGTGTGTACACAAGATTGGCTTAGAATGCAAAATACTCCTTTATGTATTGAGGAGAATCTAGAAGAGTTGGAGAGGTTTGAAAAAGGTATAACTTTAGTCTTTAGGTCTTTAGTCATTAGTGTTTTCTGTTTTTACTGTTTTATACTTATATGTTAAATTGTTAATACTTTTAACTTTTGTTTATTTTGCATTGTTAAGTGGTAATGGTGGAAGTGGAAGGTCTCTTGGTTCTACACTTGCTACAATTCCTGTAATGTTATTATTTACATTACTTGATTTTATTGCAATCTTTTACAGTATTTACTCAATTGCAATCTAATCTCACTTGGTATTTTTTGAGCCCACTGTGTTTGACTCAATTGCACTGGACATCTGTAAGTCCGTAAGTATGAAGGCCTGGTAACTTTTACTAAGTTGCTGCCTCAAGTCCCTTGGGCATTTGGTTAGTAATGTACGAACTATTTTATTATGTGTGTTCCCTTTAAGTTGGCATTTGGCAATGATGAAGCTTCCATCTTTAATATGAAAAGGATTAAGTTGGTGAGTTGCTCTATACTTAAGTTATATTGAAGCAATTTGCCCTTAATCCAAATGATATGGAAAAATGCTTACTGAGCCAAGGAAGAATAGTAGGTCTAATTGTCTGGATTTTAAAAGTCTAGGAGTTGAGTAGTTGACACTTGCAGTTGTTGAGTTGCTGATTTTGTCTGATTTTGATGATTTTGGGTGCTTCAGGCTAAACTTTAGACTGGTCAGTAGTGTATTTTGTAAATTTGTTACTTCCTTTACAGTTTACACTTAAATACTTAACATTTAACACTTGTGTAGTTGGGTAGAGTTTTGGTCTGTAACAGTTAAGTAGTTAACACTATCAACTTACTTATTCACTTTACTTTTGTTAGAGTCTTAGACACTTAAGACTCTTAGTGTTAGTTAATAGACTACTTAGTAATACTAATTACTAAGTTAGTATTACAGTATTAGTCTATTACACTATCAGTTATTTACTTATTTATTCAGTTAGATATTAATGAGCTTTTGATGTTGATTTTTGAATTGATTTGTACATTTTTGTAAAATCGAAATATTGTCGGATATCCGACCGATCCGATCCAATCCGAACAACGTTATAACCGAACTGATAAGTCAACAAAATAAAACGGATTGGGTAATCAAAATTGATATCCGGAATCCGATCAGAGTTCCCTCCCCGCCATCCGATCCGTCTAAATGCACACCCCTACTTGCGAAGTGCGAAACCTTTCTTTCTTTTTCGAATTACTCCCAAACATGCGAATATAAATTTTGATTCGAAGGTCTGTGAGTAATTCTGGGGGTAATTCATAAAAGATAGAGGGATTTCGCATTTCGCAGAGCTGAGAGTAAAGAGAGGACAATATTGAGATTGCTGAATTGTCCCTTTATTTACACCAATTTGACGAAATAATAAACGGAAGACTAAATCGAGCAAAAACACAAAAGTCTGGACTACATTAGGTCATCAAAGTCGTTTAGGACGAAATTGATAAAAACCACTATAATTGATGATCATTTTGAGTATTAACTCAATTTAATATATACAATTCATGTTTTTGCGTTTACATATTTTCATGTCATTATTGCTTGCGTGGGTATATATATAGTATGTAATCATGTAGTCCAAAGAGCCAATACCCAGCCATCAAGGGTCACAAGAAACACAAATGTGTCAATTGAGCACAAGGTGCTTGATCTATTTGACTATTTTATATTTAGAAAATAAAAATTAATGAGTAGAAAAGTAGTTTGAGAATTTTATTTTTTTAAAAAAAAAAAATAGAGTTTGACATTACTTATTAATACAAAAATTAGTTAAAATGTGATTACTAAATATTCAACTAATATTACATATAAAAAATTAAAGAATTTTAATTTAAAGTAGGGAGTGTAATAGGAAGAGATGGGCCATTGTGATTTAATTTCCAACTATACTACGACTACTACATTTGCAGTTTGGACCTCCAACATTTCACAATTTTGTCATCTTAACGCCGCCGCCATGAACAACCACCACCACCACCCTACGCGGCCGCCCCCGCCGCTGTCGTCTGCAATCAACCACCACACCACCACCCAGCTCCTCAAGCACACCACCTCCATCTTCATTTCTCACCTCCTCCTCTTCCTCTTCCTCGCCTCCCTCATCTTCATCTTCCGCTCCAACGTTGACAACGGGGCCCACTTCCTCACCTCCTTCATCGACCGCGATCCTTCCCTCAAATCTCTCCTCTCCCGCATCGACCTCTCCTCCTCCTCCGCCGCCGCCCATCACCACCACCACCACCTCCGCCACCACCGCCGCCGCCGCCCGTTTCTTCACCTCACCCGTGTCGGCACCCTCGATGATGACTTCTTCTCTGGCGACCCGGACCTCGACCGCTCCCTCTTCCACCCTTCATCGAAGCCGACCCCCAATGCCTCTTTCCTAATTCTCTCCAATTTCGATCCAAGATTAGGGTTTTCGTACCCCGTAGTTGACCATGGAATTGCCATCTCCCAAGCTGTTCGCCCCGGGTTCGTATCGTTTAAGCCTTCCTCTGAAGCCGCCTTGGATATTGATAATAACGCTACAATTGTTAATGATGGCCGCAATGACAACACAGTGGTTGATTTGCAGTTCTTGGTGAAGGGCCTCGAGCTGGGCCGACGTGACGTGACGGCGTTACTTTTTCTAGTGGGTTTATTATCGGCTGCTTATGCGTATGCGGTATTTGCATTCTTGGTTACGTACACTTGGGTACATGGCATTGTTTTCGTTCAGGTTCTGGATAATTTGTTGGGGAATTACAAATCATATTTTAGGACTGCGTGGGACGGTGCTAATTTGGGGCTCAGAAGGCTTTCTGGGTTCATTCTAATGCGATGGGCAGTGAGGGATGCATTGGCACAGGTATTGGGAATTTGGTCTTTTGGAGAAATTGAGGATCAATATGAATTCTTGAAGATTTCTGTAAGAATGAAGTTGATGCCTTTTTCAGATGTGGCACCATGGATTACAGGGCATGAGAAGGAAAGTGTATGCTTTATATTGTCATGGTTCTTGGTTGAGTTGCTGGTGGGATTTATGTTTGCTGTGGACTCTTGGATTGTGATTGTGGACTCGAGGAAGAGTGGTAGGGAGGTTGTGAGAGAAGGGTGCCATTTGTTGGTTACGTTGCTTGGCCCTGCTATTGAGATCAAGGGCTGGGAAGCCATGATTTGTGGGTCGTTGACAAAATGGATATTGGGCGAGATTTTTGGTGAAGTATTCGCAACTGCATTCCAGTCGGTCATGGAAGTCTATTTCATGGTAGCATGGTTGATGTTTTATTTGGCTGCTAGGTCAATTGATGCAACATCTCTTGGGAGGGCATTTGGGCGAAGAGAGATGGAAGGTTTTCTAGAGGGCATTAGATAATAATAATAATTCTGGTTAGCGGTTTATTCAAACGGTTTGTTCCATTGCCTCTATAGTTGCATTTGAAGTGTGCCATTATTGACTACATTGTCGTGCTAAAAGCTTCTGGTGCTTTATCTGTTCAATGCTTTGAACATTCAAGTAAATGTAGCCGTGGCGTTATTTGATGATCACCAGCTCCCGCTCTGTATTTGTCCCGAGGCAATACAAAATCTGTAGACTACTAGGCTTCACTGGAATTCTTGAGAATACCATGCCGTGTTCAATTCTTATGAAAAATGCTTCCCGTGAGAAATGTATAAATACTAGTGATAGATTGCCCATTTTTTGTGTTGCTGCTTTTGGTAGTTCAAATAGACAAAAAACAAACTGTCTCAGGTTTCTATATGCCATACTGATGTATATTTTCAAAATCTGAAGCAAAATGAGTTGGATAATTTCATACATTCCAGAGAAGCAAATTTTTCACTTGGCTTTCTGTTTATTGTAATTCTTACTATTGCCCTGCATCACACTATTTGTATAATTGATCAATGTATTCATTTTAGCATTGGTATCTCCAAAACTTCAGGTTGAGGACATAGAAAACATCATGGTATTTTGCAGAGGTTATATTCCATCTTCTAGTAATGTGATTTGAGAGAGCTGTGCCATTATTGCTACAATGCTCATGTCTGGGCAAGCCTCATATATCTGCTTTGACATTCAGTGTCTGAAATACCAAATTTGATGTTTTTTGAGGACTCCAGGTACCATTGAAACTATTTAAGGTTGAATTTTATTCTTCATCTCTGCCTTTTTGGGTAAAACTACAGTATTCTGAGATTTGGGATTGGGATTGGGATTTGATCCCTGCTCTTAAAAGTTCATATGCCTTCTGACAGTCTTGTGTTTTTATTTGATGAAACATCTTTAAGGATCAAAACTATGACATCGTAATTTAAGATCACGTGTCAGTGTCACTTGACTTCAAGGTGTTTTTGTGTTTCGGGAATTATAGTACTAAGGCAAGAAAGTAAAACATGAAGAAGAAAGTTGTAAAATCCTGCTATTGCAGCAATCTTAGGTAAAAGTGCACAGAATGAGTATGAATGTACAATCAGCTACTAAACAGAGAATTCTTAGATAGATACCAAATCTCAATATGGACTCTGCAGGCATCAATGATGTTACATGAGTTTATTAGTAAGAATGGGGAGTCTTGGATCTGCAGTTTCTTGGATATGGATGAACACTTGCCAATTCAACGACACGGTGCAAGATGGGTTTTGGCAAGGGCCGCCATGAAAAACTTTGCTTTCCCTTACCCCCCTGCATTCATCATTGCAATGGTTCCAAAATTGTTACAAATCGTGGCAAATATACATAAAACTTGTTGACAGGATACCCAAAATATGGCAAGAGAAAGAGAAGTATGAAACTAGGAAGAAGAACTGACCGTGTTCTTGCTGCTTTGGTTTTGAAGATGGGTGGCTTTTAAGAGATTTCTCCATTTGTCCTGTGGAGTTTAAGAGTAGAATAGAAGCAATCCTTTAATCAGATTGAGCCTTTTCGGGATTTCTCATTTTAGCAGTATAGAACACTTGACCACAGGGCATAACCATTACCTTGAGATCTACTGGTGTCCGGTGGTCAGATGAAGAGAAGAAAAGCCTCTTTATTTGACTCCATCTCCCAACTCCACATTGAGAAACACCATCGATTAACTCTCTCACCTCTGAAACAGTCCATAGCCTGTGGTGCTTCCTTCGAGCACCATCTCCATCAGATCTTAAAGTTACCACACCATCATCACTCTCATCCATCAACATCTCCTCATCATCAGATTTTAGCGGCTGTGAAGTATAACATTAAACAAATTACTATGAATAATAGTTACATCAATGATTCTTATCTTTCATGAACTATTTCCTGAATTTGATATGCAAATATTCTTACTGATAAGTTATCAACAACATAAGAACACTAGTGGCATTCATTTTTCTTTGTCTTTTTTGATATTACAAATGTAAATTTACTAACATTGAACTTTACCTTGTTCACATTACATGCTGGACTGTTGAGATATTCTTTGGAACCAAAAGGTAATATGTGGTTCTGGTTTGCCTTATTCACATTGGTTGTGTGCTTGTCATCACATTCTTCATATCCAGACATGTGTTTTGGCTTGACTGTCTTGTTCAACTTAACCTTATGCACATCCAATTCATACCTTTGACGACAATTTTCAGGGCTAAAAGATGACAACTGGTTCAACTTTACTTTCTTAACATCAGATGCATGTTTCGTATCACCATCTTTGTTGCCACACAATGGTATCTCATTTGGCTTTACCTTCACAACACTGGATGGATGCATTATGTGACATTCTTCGGGTACTAGAGGTCCAAATGGCACTTGGATAGCTTCACAAAGAGTCTCCTCAGCTTGAAACTCGAGTGCTTGAGGTTTATTATGTTTCTTACTACATTTGACTTGAAGACACTTATCCTTTGATAAAGAAGTGGAAACCTCTAACTTTTTCTTAACACGTCTTGTATTAACAAGATCTGCTGATTCATCAATATATCTGCGAGTAGGCTTACGTACTCTCTTCTGTGTATGAACCCCATTGCAGCTACTGTCTTGGGAAGAATTCTTTGTGGATGAATCTTGGAGATAAAGGCTTTCGTGATCCACGTTTGGCCCGCCTATACTTAACTCTTTGTTTTGCTTGATTGTAGACATGCAGATGGACCCACTTGATGTCAGATCAGGAGTGAATATTGCATCTTCATCATTATTATCAGAAGATATACTTCCTGGCAAGAAACTCGATACATTTTCCAAGTAGTCAATATCTCCCGAAGTGAATGAAGTCGGGAAGCTCAAGCAGTTGTCATCAACTAACATTTTATCATCAAATTTGTTGTTCGAGAGTTCATGATTTGTCATCTCGAGTAGATCACTCCAGCATTCAGTTTCTTGAATTACACCTGACAAATATGGCATTCCAGGCTCCTTAATGATTTACTTGAACAATATCATTCAAATTCATGGTGCTTAAGTGCTTTCACTACATTTAGTATCTAGCTATAAAGAAAAAAATTGTTTAATGCTCATAATATTTATCATTACTATTATAAATATATTATCGTAATATTCTAAAAATAAGAGAGATATTATTCAAAAGCAAGTTCACCTAAAAGATAATCTTCACATGCACTGAAGGGATCATTTGATGCTTCAAAAATTTCAGCTTCAGTATGACTTGGCTCTATATCAAGCACCTAACTCAAGTAACACATAATCAATGAAAAACCAAGATCGTAAGGAATAACAGCAGTATTAAAATTTCTTTCTTCTGTTTTCAGTTTTCCAGGAATGGAAAATTATGATAAAATCCTCAGTACGATGTACTAGCATAATTGTGGTGTGATCCACTCCCTATTGGAAAGAGGAAAAGATGAGGACGAAGATCAGAAAGAAAGCAACCTATTTGAAAGGAAAAGAATAAAAAAATTACAACCTTTTTTTTTCCTTACAAGAAGACATTTTTGTTAGAAGTTTCCTCCAAAAACAAGAGTTCCTTACTCGATGCTTATATCTAGGACTAGGAAATATCACATTCCTTCTTGCAAAGCTTACACATCCATTGTTCTAAGGTAAGCACTCGATGATTAACAACAATAATCTTCAAATAAAAAATAATACCACGCTCTCCAAGAGTTTCTCTTAGAGAACAGTCAATATTAGTTTTTTTTTTTTTTTTTGGGAAGCCTAATGGTATTATCTTTGGAGAATAATGAGCTTGGGTGAACAGTTATTGACTATTAGGTCATGCGTCCAATCACGGGATATAAACACATGAGATATCTGCCCAATAATTTAAAATGAACTCATCTCTTTCAGAATGTAGCAAACTCTGGAGGAAGGGCCACATACTTCAAGATTCATCTTGTTCTCCCTTTCGAATGAAATACTGGGATCTGGGCCACCTATTAACATCATAAATTGCACCACTATTAGAAGTGATAGAATGGCTTTCTTGCTAGTACAGAGATAGAAGAGACGAGCTAAAAGAAGCAAAAACATATTAAGTTGTTTAAGTTTTTAATAGAAGTGAAAATTGATCATGTGCATTGGTAAGGCAGACGAACACACAACAATCACTCAAGGAGAAGCTAGATTAATATTTCTTCCTAGAGACAGACAGACATAAATCAGTGACTAAAAGCTCATAAAAAATTCTAAACATGCTTATGCCCTTATTGTTGAAATCTATTCACAATTCCCTAAGAAGTTATTCTTTTCATACTTTCCTCTTTGTAGCCTACAAGTTGAAGAGAGTAAAGAATGAAAAAAATATCAGATATTACCACAATAGGATCCCAATAATTTCAAGTATTAGATTCATACCATACACAGTCAATCTAAAGAACTAAACAATTGACTTATATGGCAAAGTGCTTTAGCTATAAAGGGCAAATTGATGCTTCTTTGAAAAGCTGTTTCAATATATACCTTTCATTTCACTGCAATTCCTCAATTCCTCAGACTCTTCTTGTGAATGCATAAGAAACAACAAGCTCCTCTTTGGGCTCTACAAGAAAGCATTCAATTTCAATTCAATAATCCTAAAAACAAGGAGAGAAATGTTCATCTTTTGCAACCTGTAAAGTGACAAATACCCAAAAAAATTTGTCTTTTTCAACACAAGATTCATCCCAAATTCTTGAAACTGTTTAGAAAAAATTCTAAACTGCTCTCAGTAATGCAAAACGAACTTTAGTCTTCACCTCCACTAGCTCAGGCGCTCAGACACGCACCTCTCCAACCTTGAAGTTCAATTCTTTTCCTTAAACGACTCAATGTAATCCCCGACAAACAGCGCGCCGCAATTTGCGCAGCAACGATTGAAGTTCCCCAAAATGTTACGGCAAAAAGATCGGAAACAAATTTAGGGAAAAGGGAATAAACCTGGGATGCATTTAGTAAAGTGATTAACAAGAATGGGATTGAAAATGCTAACCTTAATCATCAAGAAAAGAGTTGGGGAAGAAACATGATCCCGCTTGCACCATGGCACGCACAGTAGCTGAAGTGGAGTGAGAGAAAGAGAGAGGCGAGCTGAGGAATTTTATACGGCGGATTCGAAAAGGGCTTTAGGTAGGAGCGTTGTAAGGTGGATTTAGAATCCGAGGTGGCTGGCAAGTGGTAACTTGGGCTTCGTTGATTCCGAGGGTTGGTTGGTGCGAAGAGTTGATGCCTTTTCTCCTCCAAAAAATTGAATTCTAAATCTCAAGGTCCTCACACCCGGTCTTATAGAGCATTTGGAAACAGAGCATTTAGAAGGATGTAAATTATGATATATCAATTGAATACAGAGACTAGATCTTTGTTTACTGTACACAAAAAAGCCTTTTAAGTTGTTGGAAATGGTGAATAAATCGATACACAAAATATATATATTATATATATTTGTCCCAAAATGGAATTTAATTTATAGAAATTAATTCCAACCAATTTTTGATACGAAACCAAAATTACATATACATACAATGTATATATATAAACCAAATAGGGATTTATTTTATCAAAATAATCCCACCACAACTAGTACGAAACTAGTACACGGGACTTAATTTTCACGAAATTAATCCCTCCACAACTAATACGAAACTAGTACAAGGATTTAATCTATCCGAGATTAATCCCACCACTTGGTCCGAAACCAAGAACAAAAATAAACAAGAGACGGGTTTCTAACCTGAGGTTTTAACCCAACAAGAAGAAAGATGAAGCAGAGGAAGCCCGAGTCGTGTGTACACACACTCTCCTTAAAACCGATTCGCCACCTCCCGAGGGTGCTAAGATCGTTGTGGCGTCAGTCTCACAGGATAAAACGGACTACGACTTTGGCGTTCGAGCACTCCAACCCAAAGCCCGGCGAACTAGAACACAAGTTGAGCACTCCGATGTTTTACGGAATTATGTTGGCAAACAAATTTTTTCTCTTTTGAAATCAAGGAGAGTAGAGAGAAAAGCAGTAGTTTAGTTTAGAGTTTCAAAAATGGTGTGTGAAACATTCTGCCAACATAACAACTATATGTAGGGAAATGTGGAATTAAGTAGCATTATAATGGCCATTAACCAACATAAATCCAATTCAATAATTGGATTATAACATTTGAAACGGTCGTACTTATTATCGAAATAATATCAACGGTCACGAACTTAATACGTGATTAATTCGTACTGACTACAACGACCCGTTTCAAAATATCTGAGTGACCGAGAAGTCCATACAAACCCGAAAGGTTAACGAATTGGGACCGGAAACCACACCCGAGTGGTCCACACGCACCGAAACGGTGCAGCACGAATCAATGCATATAGCATTGACTCGTGCTCAGCACGAAAGTAGCTCACGAAAGGAGAGCACGAAAGGAGCTCACAACTCCAACTTTCAGCATGAAACTAAAGCTTATAATTAAGCTTTCAATTTTGCATGAACTTTCGTCCAGCATGAAAGCATAGCACGAAAGGTGCTAAAATCTCAATTCACTAATTAAGCAACCAAAGCTTAATTACACTTAAGCTCTACAACTTTCGTGCAGTGCAACGAAAGTTATGAAAATGCTGATTTCAAACTAGCATTTAAACTTAAGTTTTTGACTTCTCTCAAATAGGTTCACTTTGAGAATCAATTTCTCATTCACCTATTACCCATTTTGAGCTTACATTATATTAAATTCTTCGTCTCACTACGAAGAACCCGAATCCACTTTGACCCGACCCAAATCGGAAGTGGACTCGCATATATTTGTACCACAAAATAATCACTCAAAATCCCATTTTTAGCTAAAAATTCCAACAATCCCCCACATGAATGAAAATTGATTTTCGGGACGAGAAAAAATCGACACGAACATGCTCAACGGTCGATCCCTGCATAGCATAGGTAGGTGTTATCCTTTGAACCTTGCCTTGTGAAAATATGTTTACTCTACTGGCTGTATGGTAGAACTTGATGTCTTTGAACCAACTGCCGTTTGTGTAGACGATGACATATCACACACAGGAACCTTCCAACCTTTGTTCTGTTCTCATGGGTGTGCCCGTTTTGGTCATGGGTCACTTTCCTGGTTCTGCGAAAGTTTCTAAAGAATTGAGCCCATCAATTCTCCTTTGAAGCGACCCCACTTCTCTCTAACATATGTGATTCTTTATCGAGTATCCCGCATACTCACACATGTCAATAGACATTCGAATCATTAAAGCATCAACATGCTAGCCTCGTGTGGGAGTCACTGTTCTAACGAGGAATGGTAGGGAGTCCGAGACCCCCCACAGTGACACGCTTCGTTCCATAATTTAGTTGTCCCATTGAACCTAGGTGCCAGCTAGGTTGGGTGTCCACTATAGAACTTTTATTCCATGGGCTTCAAACCCATTCCTCGTGCCAACATCTCAACAACATCTTTGCTCAACCCTTTAGTTAGCGGATCCGCTATATTATCCTTTGACTTCTCATATCAATAGAGACAACACCCGTTGTGAGTAGTTGTTTAATGGTATTATGTCTTTGACGTATATGTCTAGACTTGCCATTATACATATGACTTTGTACTCTCCCGATTGTTGCTTGATTATCACAATGCACACTAATTGGAGGTACAGGTCTATCCCAACTAGGAATATCCTCCACAAAGTGGCGTAGCCATTCAACCTCTTCACAACATTTGTCTAAGGCAATTAGCTCAGATTCCATCGTGGATCTAGCTATCAAGGTTTGTTTTGAGGATTTCCAAGAAATGGTTGCACCGGCTAACGTAAACACGTAGCCACTTGTGGACTTAGAGTCCTTCATATCCTATGTCTAGTTAGCATCGTTATACCCTTCAAGTACAGCAGGATATCGTGTATAGTGCAGTCCCCAGTCACGAGTATACCTTAAGTATCTCATAACTCTCACTATTGCCTTCCAGTGCGCATCACTGGGGTTACTCGTATATCTACTGAGTTTGCTAACCGCAAAGGCAATGTCAGACATAGTACAGCTCATTAGATACATCAAACTTCCAATAATTCTAGCGTATTCTACTTGAGAGATACACTTTCCGCGATTTTTGGACAGATTAACGTTAGTATCTAATGGAGTCCTAGCCACTTGATAATCATCCTTGTTAAACTTTGCAAGGATTTTATCAACATAATGAGAATGGCTTAACACGAGACCATCAGGTCTTCTCACGATTCTAATCCCAAGAATTAAATCTGCCAAACTCATATCTTTCATGTCAAATCTCGAATTTAACATGTCCTTGATAGATTTGATCATTCGATCGTTACTACCCACAATGAGTATATCATCCACATATAAACAAAGAATGACATAACCGTCTATCGTTTCCTTAACGTAGACACACTTGTTATTTTCGTTTATATTGAACCCATTGGTTAACATCGCATGGTCAAACTTCTCGTGCCACTGCTTAGGCGCTTATTTAAACCATATAACGATTTAACCAATTTACAGACTTTCTTTTCTTGGCCCGAAATCGCAAAACCCTCAGGTTGTTCCATATAGATTTCTTCATCTAACTCGCCATTCACGAAAGCTGTTTTCACATCCATTTGATGAACTTCCAAATTTCGCAGTGCGGCTATGGCAAGTATCATCCTTATGGAATTTATTCTCGTTATAGGAGAATACGTGTCGAAGTAATCAAGGCCCTCGCGTTGCCTGTAACCCTTAATTACAAGCCTAGCCTTATACTTCTCAATGGAACCATCAGGTTTCAACTTCCGTCTAAAGACCCACTTGGATCCCAAGGGCTTACTACCCGGAGGAAGATCAACTAGTTCCCAAGTGTGATTCTGTAAGATAGAATCCACTTCACTCTTTATAGCCTCTTTCCACATTGGTCCTTCCGTAGAAGTCATAGCTTCTACATACGTTTGAGGCTCGTTTTCTAACAAACATGTCAGAAAATCCGGTTCATTTTCTAGTAAAAAAGTTAGAATATGCGTATCACATTCTAACATGTACGTCAGAAAATCTGGACCAAGGGATTTTTCAATCCTAACTCGCTTGCTACGTCTAGCTTCGAGCTCGGGTTCTATTTCAGACCCTCCACTGCCGTTATCCACAGCCTCGTCGAATGTTCGTTTCGACGTACTAGGTCCCTCACTAGACATACACGGAAATACATCTTCAAAGAACGATGCATTCCTTGATTCAATTATCGTGTTCTTATGTACGTCCGGAATATGGGACTCGTGTACTAAGAACCGATACGCACTACTGTTATGTGCATAGCCAATAAAGATACAGTCCACCGTCTTAGGACCTATCTCTATTTTCTTAGGTGTTGGCACCAAAACTTTGGCAAGACATCCCCACACTTTCAGGTACTGGTAGGAAGGTTTCCTACCGTTCCACAGCTCATAAGGATTCTTATCGAGCTTCTTGCGGAGAACCTTATTTAAAAGGTAGTTACTTGTCAAAATCTCCTCACCCCACATACTTTGAGGCAGGCCCGAACTTATCAACATCGCATTCATCATTTCTTTCAATGTGCGATTTTTCTTTTCGGCAACACCGTTCGATTGAGGTGCGTAAGGTGCCGTACGCTCGTGTATGATACCTACACTTGCACAGAAGTCACCAATAGGTGCTTCGTACTCACCACCTCGATCGCTTCTAACCTTCATAATCCTCCGATTAAGTTGGTTTTCCACTTCATTCTTATAAAGAATGAATTTATCGACGGCCTCGTCTTTGCTCTTAAGCAAATATACATAGCAGTATCGTGTGCTATCATCGATAAACGTGATAAAATATTTATTACCACCGCGCAATTGTATTGATCTAAAATCACATACATCGCTATGAACCAACTCAAGTGGTTCTGTTTTCCTTTCAATCGATTCAAAAGGAATTTTCGTTTGTTTTGCCTCAACACAAATCTCACATTTGTGCTTATCAACTTGAAATGCAGGAATATGGTCCAAGTTAATTATTCTACGCATAGAATTAAAATTAACATGACCCAGTCTACTGTGCCACAAACACGAAGACTCAAGTAAGTAGGCTGAATTAATAATACTTTTATTAATCGCGGTTATTGCATCGAGCTTAAAAAGCCCATCTAGCACATAACCCTTGCCTAC